AAGCGGGCAGGTGTCCGCAGATGCGATGTCCGCAGAAGCGGATTTAGACTGCAAAAGCGGTCCTGAGCGCAATAGTATATTTTGGCAGAAGCAGAGGAAATACCGCAGAAGCGGTAACCGCATATGCGGTACAGTGATCGCAGATGCGAAAAGGGCTGGACAGAAAGGGTTTTAAAGGTTCATTTTGTTCCGCGAGCTAAGGTATTTTTCCACCATTTTTGAGCAAACTTAAGAGCTTTTGGACGGGAATTGAAGGTGATTTTGACTGGGTGTGATTGGAGGTGAGTTCTATGACCTAAATACATGATTTAATGGTAGAATTAACATAGAAATTTATGGAAATTCATCAAAAGGGGGGAAAAGCTAGGGCTTGGAATTTGATATTTCAAAGTGGGATTTGATGGGTCATTTGGGCTCGGATTTGGGAGTTTTGGTATGTATAGACTCGTGGCGAGATAAGGAATCCGATGATGTTAAATTTTCTGATTTTCGAGAAGTGGGCCCGGGGCTCGGGTTTTGCCAATTTCGAGATTTTTAATATTTTTCGATTGTTTTCGATTGGGTATTGTTCCATTGGCATATTGTGACGTATTCGTTCCGGTTTTGGATAGATTCGACGCGCTTGGAGGCCGATTGGAGGGGCAAAGGCGTCGCGAGCTAGAGATTTCGCCGCCTCGATGTGAGTAATGATTCTAAATGATATCCTGAGGGTTTGAAACCCCGGATTTGCACATCGTAGTGTTATATTGAGGTGACTTGCACGCCGGATAGCGAGCCTGGGATAGAGCACCGTTGGGGAATGTGACTTGGTCCGTCCCGATTGATGATTTTACCGCGTATTTGACTGAAACATATTTGTTATTATCATGATTTGGGCTGATTGCCATATTTGGGTTTCGTGCCAATTATTTGAACCCTTAGGGGATTTTATCACTGTCTCCTCACTGTTTTGACGTATTATTTGAACTTAGTTCTATTGATATTTATAGTTTTACAAACTCAGCCAATTTTACTCAGATTTGAAACTTAAATGATATTTCTAAATGATATTTTGGGCTGAGAACTACTGTTTTACAAATGCCCGAGGGGCTTGTGATGATTTTCGGACTGAGTGAGGCTGAGGGCCATATGTGAGGATATGCTGAGTGATATGAGGCCGAGGGCCTAAGATACTTTATGTGCCACGAGGTGGCTTGAGTGACGTGAGGAGGCTTTCAGGCCTTATGAGTGATGTTAGGAGGCTTTTAGGCCTTATGAGTGATGTGAGGAGGCTTTCAGGCCTTATGAGTAATGTGATGAGACTTTCAGGCCTTGTGAGTGATGTGAGGAGGCTTTCAGGCCTTATGACTAATGTGAGGAGGCTTTCAGGCCTCGTGTGTGATGTGAGAAGGCTTTCAGGCCTTATTTTATATGCCACGAGGTGGCTTGATATTGCGCTTGGGCCGTAAGGGGCCCCTCCCGGAGTCTGCACACCCCCAGTGAGCGCCATCGACGATATGTGGATCGGGATGCACGCCGCAACGAGTTGTGGATCGGGCTGCACGCCGCAGCGCTTACTATATGATACTGTTTTAAGAGTGATCTGAGAGAGAGAGCCCGGGGGGCTGAGAGTGTTTCTGAGAGTGAGCCCGAGGGGCTGGTACTGTTTTGAGATATTGCCTGAGGGGCAAACTTTTATGTGCTCATCTTGCATATTTACTTGCCTCTTTACCTGTTATACTGTGATATTTGTGCCCGAGGGGAGGTTTTTCTGTGCTTATCGGCACTAACTGTTTTGAAATCATTTCGTAACTGTTGGAAAGATCATTTTAAAAAGAGATTTAAGCCGAGCCAATAGATTTCCAAAGATTTCACAGCTTCACTGTTTTTCTCAAAGGATTGTACCCTGCTTCTACACAGCATGTTGGTTGCTTTACGTGATTTCTTACTGCTCAGTTGTTATTTACCTTTATTACTCACTGAGTTGGAGTACTCACTTTACTCCCTGCACCTCGTGTGCAGATGCATGTATCTATTCACCCGGTAGCGGGTTTTGGGCCGATCAGAGGCAGAGTTATATGAGTTAAGGAGGTGACTGTCAGCGTTCGCAGCACCATGTCTCTTCCTTTTGTTCATTTTTCCTGTTTCGTGTATTTATTTTTAGGCCTTGTAGAACTGTATTCACCCTCCAATAGATGCTCGTGACTTGTGACACCCTGGTTAGGGCTGTGTTGGGTTGGCTTTCCGCTGATTAATATTATTAAGTCATATTTTAGCTGTTTATTCATGTTTAAATTATTTTTGAAAAGACGAGTTGGGTTAGTTGGCTGGCCTTGCCTTCACGAGAGGCGTCATCACGACCAGTGCGGGGTTTGGGTCGTGACATAGATATTCTAACTGAAATTAAAAACTTAAGAAAAGATGTTGACAAGGTAACATATATACAGAATCTTGGATGTTTCTTTAATTTATGTTAAGCCAATATTTTCGTTAACTCTTTATATTTTAATATGTAGGTTGCTTTAGATCTTGGATCTTTCAAGACAGATATTTTGAAAAACTAGGTAGCTTTCGACTGCTACTCAATTACTCAATCAAGGCTTTTTTGCAGGCGATAAATAGTCAAAAAGATAACATTGATGCCAGGGTAATATTTGAAATATATTCATTTAACAGAACAATTAATATCACCTCTAAGTTTATATTATCGTCCATAATGTATATATCCTAACAAATTTAAAGCCTGCAGTTTGCTAGAAGTTCTACAAAAATTGCTGAGCAAACAAAAGAAAAGATCAATCAACATTTTTCGTGCAGTAGTGATATACCAGCGCATGCCAGCAGTAGTAAAAAATGTATGTACAACATATCTACATTATATACAACATATCTACAATATGTGTAGATATATCTACATTATGCCTACAGTATATCTACACAGATTTACATATCTATGTAGATGTCTACAATGTACCTATACATTGCCTAAAAATGTATCAACTAATGTGCATTATAATTCAAATGGGTTTCTTAGATACAGGACATGTGAATGACATGGAAATTAATGAGAGTGCTCTTGTACGTGTATCTTTAGATTCTCATTTTGAAGCGGCAATTGATGAAAAGAATGCAGGTATGAGTTAGTACCATGTTATCATCACATCAACATTACAAAGTTATTTGTTATCATATGCATGACATCATTTCAACAAAATTACTATATTTAATGTAGATATTGGATTCTGAAATGTTAGTGTTTAGTACAAATTTCCTACAAAATGATTAAGTTAAACATACTTACTGTAACAGTGAAGGAAGCTATGCCTGCAGACTCTACAATACATGAAGATACAATAATCATTCAAGGAGAACAGAAGAATGAGGAGAAGGGGAAAAAAAATTCAATCTCCCATTGAAGATAAGAATGTTATAAAAGAAGGAGATGATTGTTGTGAAGAAGGAGGTGAACCAGCCGAGTACGTTAATGTAGGTAATTCGGACGAATCCAGATGTGATAAAAAGGAAGTAACACTTGATGATTTTGAGTTGCCACAGAACTTCTCCCAGATTGTTAAGTTCGGCGAGCTTAACCAAGATGAAACAACCCCTGTGCATCAAGGAAGAACAAGGCAGCCTAGAAAGCATGCCCGATCACCCTTTCTCCCTATTTACAGTTCTAGTGGCAGCACTTCTGTTGGACCTCCAATTTTTCAAATCAAGCATCCATTTACTGGGATTATAGGTCAAAATGTTGATCCTGAGTTGTTGGACGAATTCAACAACTGGTTATACCTTGGTACCGATAAAGCTTCAAAGAGGTTTAGTTTATACAATTTGTTCATATTTCTGAGTGCATTCATCTTTTGGATATCCACTTCAATCTACATATTTATTGTAATTGCTATGTGTTTAAATAAGAGGAAGGCGCATTATTCTATAAAAGATAACCAGCTAAAGTCGTGGTATGATCTTGGAGTGGAGAAAGTTGATAAAAAGGAGTGGTTTTACACTTTAGCACAACCCGGACAAGTCCTCAACAACACGGTAAACACATACCCTAGCAAAACGAGATGATTGGAGGATATTGTAGTTTTTTGGTTTAAAAATTGAAGTTAATTTGTTTTAAGCATAAACAAATAATGAACTATGTCTTTTTTTTCTTTGCAACACATTGATGTTATTTTATACTATTTGCGGAAGAGAGGAAAGTATGGTCCTGTGAACAAAACACGTTTTACAACCACTGACTGTAATTTCAAGACTAGAATTGAACAAATTTATAAAAAATACATTAATGCTCCTGACGATAAGAAGCTAGATGTTGTCAAATCCCAGGACGTCGTAGCAGAATACATATTGGGGTACAGGCTACTTGCAAATATTGCATGGGATCAAGTTGATTTTGTGATTATGCCCATAAATATTGTGGAAAAATTTCATTGGTTGTTGGCTGTTTTTGACATTCCCGAAAGGGCTCTGTAGACACGTGATTTTTTACCCTCCCCAAGATTTTGATATTTTAGCATGTAAATATTTAATTTAGGCCTAATATAGCTATTTTAACTCATTTTGACTCTTTTGCTTTATTTTATTACAAGAAAAATGAAAATCACAAAAAAATATTTTAGTTTATGTATTTTTCATAAATTTTTTAAAAAAAATACAAAAATAGTACCTTATTTTAATCTTTATATAATTTCGAAAATACAAAAATAGTTTCATGTTTAGTTTAATTAATTAGTGTTATTTTGCATTGTGTAGTATTTTTATCTTATTTTATTTTATTTTATTTTTTTTTTAAAAAAAGAGTCAATTAAGGTGTTGGATCACAATTTTAAGAGTTTTAGAGCCCAATTCTAGGCCCGATTCGGATTAGTCCATTAAGCTTGGGGACCCTTCTAGACTCTTCTTTGGAACAATAATAAATAAAAAGACCCTAAGGACCTAAGAGCAATTAGCACAAAAATACACATTTAGACCTAGAAATATATAATAGGGTAACACCTAAATGAAAGGAGGAGAGAATTTTTCTAAAAAAAAGCTGCGGCTGAAAACAAAAGAACCCCACCCCCGTTCTCTATCTTCTTCAGAAGAAGAACCAGCCATCTCCACCTATCTTCTTCAACCTTCCATCGACCCCTCCTCTCCAAAAACACAGCAGAACCACTAGCCCGCAAGTGACAGCGTTACAAAATAGAGCTCCGTCCCTCCCTGTCCTCTTCGTCCAAATATTAGAGCAGATTTGAGCATTTTATAAGCAGCTTCAGATTTCGAAACGTTGTCTTTTGACCCCAAATCAGTCCCAAAGAAATTCAAAAACCAGTCGGAGTTTAGTTTCTGTCACTCTGATTTAGTTCGATAATTCCGGCGAGCATCAAGGTTGTCCGTGGTCGTTGTTCATGGGTTCCGTTTCAGCTCCGTCCATGGTTTGTCGTGTCGGAGTTTAAAGTCTCCTCATAAGTAATGAGCTGATCCATTTTTGAGGTTCGGTTCCTCGACTTCTCATACTCTGTTTTGCTTAAGTTTGCTTTCTGTAAATTTGTTACTCTCCGATGTATGAACTTAGTAATCTCTTTTAATGTCTTGATCATTGTCGACTCGGTTTGCTTAGTTTTGAAATTCTGTAGCCGCCGTGATTTTACGAAGAATGTTATGATTCTAGTTGAAAATTGTTGATTCCTTAAGTACTCGGCAATGTTGAAGTATTACGTGGCCAGTTTGTTTGATTTCCCAGTACTCCGTGTTGCTTTGCTGACTTCGTTGTATTGAAATGAAGGTTTACTGGCGACGAAGTTTAAACTAAATTGCACAGACCTTTTTTAAACTAAATTCACTCGTTGAATGAAAAGGCATAAGAACTTGGTTCATGTCATTACATCTATTGAAGACGTGTGGTGTATTTGTTTGTTCTACTTGAAAAGGATCCGATTCAATAAACTTGTTCTACAGATTCCATTCTTTATCGTTAATGTTTAGTCTTTATTGAGTCTAAGGTATGGCATCCGTTTTGTTTTGTGCTGGGCAAAGTCAAAAGGAAGTTTCATGTTTGTTGTTTGTACATACAATGCAGTTAGCTCCCAAAGGATTAGAGGTTGTTGTGTTAAAATGGTTTCACTGCCTTTAAAGGTAAAAATAAAGATGGGTAGCATTACACAAATCCAATCGTTCATCACCATCAATATTGCTGTTAAAATGAACAGTCTGCTCTTACCATTCATTAGCTTGGATCCGCGAAAGTTTGAGAAAGTGTAATGTCAGTGGAGTTCACTTGTAAATATACTATCGTGGTTGTGGACACGTTCGCATGACATGATTACGATTCCTAAAAACAAAACCGGAGTATGCGTTCCCGCAACTTCGGCCCAAACTTTTCTTAATAATAATTAAGCGTTATTAATTGTGGACACGTTCGCGTGACATGATTTTTGACGCACCAAACGGGCGGGTATACGTACGCGTAACCCGTTTCAAGATAATTTTTCTAATTAAAAGCGGTGAAAAAAGCAAAAGCATCTAGGTTCTAAAACCAGTAATTAAATAATTTAATAAGCCAAGTAGGATCAAAGCGACCGTGCTCGAACCACGGAACTCGGGAGTGCCTAACACCTTCTCCCGGGGTAACAGAATTCCTTACCCGGATTTCTGGTTCGCGGACTATAATAACAGAGTCATTCTTTTCCTCGATTCGGGATTAAAACCGGTGACTTGGGACACCATAAATCTCCCATGTGGCGACTCTGATTTTTATAAAATGAATCCCGTTTCGATTGTCACTTCAAGTTGGAAATAACTCCCTTCTATTATACCTCTTTACGGAGGTGTAGTAGAAAAAGGAGGTGTGACAGGCTCTATATGTTTATGATTCTATGATCTCTTCACACGATCACATCATTGTTGAATCTGTTGTCACCAAATTTGCAACAATGATCCCCCTATACTTGTCATCCACTGGATTCTATGGCAAGCGTCCAGACATCAACTACAAGAACACAAAGGCATACATTGAAAAAGGTGTTACTGACCCTCTTGACATTCAGTGGTTGGTCGGTGAGATACCCCAGCAAAAAGAGGGTTCACTGTATGAAAAAGCTGTTTTTCCTTCAATTTATTTAACAGATTTTATTCAATCGCTGAATGCTAAATCTCTTTCCCCTAATTTCTATTTTCCAGTGACTGTGGTGTATACGTTGCTGCATTTTGCTGAATATATCAGCATTGGAGAGCTATCGATTTCAAATGAAGACCTTTCTGATATTGATCAACATCGTAGACGCTATGGAGCTCTACTTTGGGATTATGCTAGGAAAAAGCGAGACATTGGTGCAATTAGTGAGAGTGAGGTTACTGGCAGATTAGCAAGACGAATAGGTACACCAGCTGCAAATGAGAGAACATAACTCCTGAAGAAGAAGAAGAAAAATTAGTTTCCCTATTCTGTAGTAAAATTGTAGTTAAAATGTGTAGGTGTAGTGGGTTTGTAGTAAAGTTGTAGACAATATGTTACCTTAGAACAAGTAATTAAAACATATTTGTGCTACAATTGTTTTACCTTTAGTTTTGTTATTTTTGTCCATGAAATTATTACTTCAAATCAAAAACACTATGGAGATCCTTTTTCGGTTCAAAATTGTTAGTATTTTATTCTATTACTTTTGTTTTTTGTTGTTTGTTTTCATTATTTATTTTTACCAGTTGTGAACGAGATAACACAAGTATGTAAGAAGATGAATTTGTTGCCATTTTCTGCAGGGAAAATGTAGTTAATTTGTTTAGTTGTAGTTTATTTTGTAGAAACTTTGTAGACAAATTGTTACTTATGAGCAAGTTTCACAACTCATTAATGTTAGCATAAAACTCCTTTAGAACTTAAATTTTATGTAGTTATTCTGTTAAACGCCAGATTATGTAGTTATTTGGTAGATTTTTTGTAGATAAATTGTAAGAATCATTTGTTCACTAATGATTTGTGATATAGATAATTAAGTAATTGTGTGCTATTGATATAAATCATTCATAATCCAATCAAGTTATGAAAGTATGAACTCAATACACTCAGTAATTAAACAAAACAAATTCAAACCAACTACATTAAGAGTTGAAATCATTTCATTATAGGAAACAGTCTTTACTCAATATATCAACACAATTACGCCTCAACTATAAATCTCCTGAACACTTCAACAATTGTTATCAAAAAATCTGTTGACTATATCAAATTTTATTTCTTCTTGGGAACATTCTTGCAAGATCTTTTGTTATGCCCTTTTATCCCACAGTTGCCACATGAAACCTTGTAATTCTTTGCCTTTACTTCATCATGTGTTTTGTATCTTTATTTTTGAGGTCTTCCTGGCTGTCTTTTCCCGGTAGGTGGATTTACAACTTCTTTAGCTATATGTTGTGGCACGTTCTATTTGTTTTCATCAGGCAGCGGGTCTATTGGTATTTCATAAGTATGCAAGAGGCTCTCCCTCGTGTAATAAGGAGAACAATATTGTTCATAAGACTCATCCATGTGCCTTAAAGCAGCCAAAGCATGTGGACAAGGAAGTTCATCAAGCTGGAATTGTCCACAACTACATCTCTTGTTTTCAAGACAAACAATATAGCGCCTCACACCATCTAGTACTGTATGGATGTAATCTGTTGAAGCCCTCACCTATAATTACATTACAAACACGCAGCAAATTATCAGCAACATATACAAAATATCTACAGTTATAACCCAATTTATCTACAATATCTGTTCATATTTTAATTTGATGCAATAATTGATCAGATGTTATTGGATATAGCTTACTTTAAGCTTCTGAGACAATGTTCTGTTGTCATCCAACTCTTTGTTGAATTTAAAACCAAGGTATGTGAATGTACTCTTTGCTTTCAATAACTTTTCATTAGTCTATCATTCAAGAAGAGTCCTCATGTACTCTAATAGTTCTACAATCGTTAGCTCTCTTGCATTTTTTGTTACCGCATTTAATGACTCTGCAATGTTTGATGTCATAGTCCAAGTTCTGTTCACCGTATCATGTACTCGAGACCATCTGTGATAGCCAATATCGTATAAGTATGCTTTAACACGCGTGTCGATCTCTTCAATATTTGACATTCTTTCATTAAATTCATCAAGCGTGTATGAAACGTGCCGTGGCAAAGTACGATTCGCTTAACTTTAGATGACCTTTCTGGAACTTTGACCTTATATTTGTCCAAATATACCACACGCAAGAATAATGTGGCATGCCGGTATAAACAAGAGAAGTTGCCTTCAAGATACTCTCATTCCGATCAGAAACAACACACATATTTGGTCTTCCACCATATGCATGTTTGAATTGCTCAAAAAACCACTTTCATGATGACTCATTTTCTGAATCAACAGCAGAATATGCCAGTGGTAATATGCTACCTATTATATGTGGCAAAAAGGAATTCAATTTCCATCACAAAACTGTATATAAAGGAAAATACATACAGACAACAACATTTCTATAATATATCTACAATAAATCTACAATACCTGCTGCATCCATTGTGCTAGCTGTTAGCATTATTCCTCTGTATGCTGACTTCAAGAAGGTCCCACCAACTACTACAATCGGCCTATAATATTTCCAACCATTGATTGACGTAATCATCGCGACAAATGCATACAAGAAACAGTTATCGTCGGTCTTCTTCAATTTAACTACAGACCCCGGATAAGTCTTCTCCAGAATATACAAATAACTAGGCAATCGACTGTAGGAGTCAGCATGATGACCTCTCAAAAATTCCAATGCCTTTTCCTTTGCTCTCCAAGCTTCCATGTATGTTAAGTTCACGCCGTGTACAAACAACATATCAGTTTAAATGTCTTTTGGTGTGTAAACTGTCTTAGGATCATCATATTTTAGTATAACCATACTACCCACTACCATGGAAGTAGGTTTGCGTTATATGTAGGTATTGTCCATCAAAGAGCATGTGTGCAAGCTGTTGAATTTTCGAACCTTGAACATTGCTGAATCATTTATGCTGGTGGACTTGAACTGCCATGTACAATCTTCCCCAACACATACCAGGTAGTAGCTACAGAACAAACACAATTTAAACAATGAAAATATTATATTTAACATTTTGTATGCAAAAAAAACTACAAAGTATCTACAAATTATCTACAAAAATACAAATAAACTACAAAATAAACAAAGACATGATCTTTGACCATTGAACTGTTCACACCTTCTAGCACTAGACCTTTTCACCCTAAATTGGAACTTGTTCATGATAGAATAGTGCTTCATTGCACTAGCAATTGTTTTCTTGTCTTTGTATACCTGGCTTACTTCAATAACAGTTGGTGTATTTTTAGTTATGATTATACTTTCATATTCCACTATCTCAGGAGATGTTGGCATATCAATCAACTTCAGTGTTCCAGATGAACCTGCAATCAATTAAAGCTAAATACCGTTATGAAATATATTGTAGATATTTTGTAGAAAAATTGTAGACTAATAAAATCCAAGACTTACATATTCATAACAATTGATATACACATGTTATGTAGTTTTTATTTAGAAATATTGTAGAAAATTTGTAGAACAAATGAAATTCAATAGATATTTTGATTTACACTTGTTATATAGTTTTTTTGTAGAAATATTGTAGATTCATTGTAGCATGCATGAAAAAAAAACAAATTTCACCACTGGAATAACAGATCAAACCTGCAATTTCGTTCGAAATAGACATACTGCATTCCAAATCAAAATCACGCACTGTTATACATAGCGGATACGTTCCTAAGCTCCCGTTTTCCTTTTTCGTTTCCATGTAGACTAGAACTCCCATATCGTTCCTAATTTCCATTGGCGGACAATTTTCGTTGACAATGTACTTGATTTCGATTATTTTTTCTGATGTATCAATCATTCTATGCTATGCGATTGTAAAAATCAATTGGCTATAAGTTGCATCTTCCCTGATTACAATCCCGTCGACATGAAAATCCATGTATCTCCCAAAGCTATCCCAATTATCATCTATATGAAGCATAATAGCTATTTTCGATATTATTGCGCGTGATTCGTTATAATTGTAGATAATTGATTCGATTTTGGTTGTGAAACCAGAATATACAGTGATGCTCTAGTCATTACATTACGAATTTTAGATACTGATGTTAAACATATCATTGTAGATGATGGGAGTGGAGCATACATCATCCATCCCCGAGTCCTCCCCCAAATGAGACTCGAGGAAAAGATGGTGCCACGTTGTATCACACTAACTGGTTTTACCAATGCAGTTGAACGGACATCGGGAGAAATTACACTCCCCGTCCTCGCAGGTGGCATAAATCTGGAGACAACGTTCTACATCATGGACTAGGCCACCGCATACAATTCCATAGTAGGACGATCATGGATACATCATATGAGACCCGTCCCCTCTAGCTTATATCAAGTAATTAAGTTCCCAACACCTTGGGAATATTCAATATACGAAGTTAACAGTGCACGTCCCGAGAATGCTACCCCTTCGCCATGGATAGAATGACAACTCAACAAAAGAAAGATAAGGAAAAAGAAGCATAACAATCAGCAGGGTCGAGGTCGCCATAAAAAGAAGCTAGGGACGTCATTCTGGACCCTGAAACGGTTGAAACTGCATAATCAACTATAGAAGACCTCGACCCCGTTCAATTAGACCACCGCAACCCCCAGCAAAAGGCCTACATCGGCTGCAAACTCCGAGAACCATGTAAGTTTAGTCAATTCTTAATAACTAACACAGATTTGTTTGCCTTCAGTCATGCAGATATGATAGGCATCCCAAAGAGATAGCTACACACAAATTAAACGCGGACCCTTTCTATCCTCTGGTAAGGCAAGTCCGATAAAAGTTCAACCCCACTATCAATAATGCCGTCCACGGGGAGGTAGAGAAGCTATTAGCAGACGACTCTATCAGGGAGTCGAAGTACCCCAAATGGATAGCCAACGTAGTGATGGTCAAAAAGAAAAATAGGAAATGGAGGATGTGTGAGGACTTCTTAGGCCTAAACAAACCATGCCCAAAATATTCACTCCCATTTCTACACATCTACCAGCTCATTGACGCAATAGCCGGACACGAGCTGCTAAGTTTCCTAAACGCATACTCGGTTATAACCAAATCCTCATGGAAGAAGAGGACCAAGAGAAAACCACATTCATCACCCACAGGGGAACATATTGCTATAGAGTCATGCCGTTTGGGTTGAAGAACGCAGGGGCCACCTATCAGAGGTTGATCAGAAAAATATTCAAAGGTCAACTCGGCAAGACCATGGAGGTATATATCGATGACATGTTGGTCAAATTCGTTACGGCAGATGACCATATCGACCACTTGAAGGAAACTTTCGACATATTAAGATAGTAGGGATGAAACTAAACCCCGAGAAGTGCGCGTTCGGCATAGCCTCGGAATGTTTTTTGCGTTTCTTAGTATCACAACAAGGAATTGAAGCCAACCTAGATCAAATCAAGGCTATCAACGGGATACTTGAATAACTTACTACTAAGAAGCAAGTCCAAAGATTGACTGGTCGAATCGCCGCCCTATCGAGGTTTATCTCGCGGTCGTCCGATAGATGTCATAGATTTTTTGGCGTATG